TGCCTGGGCATCTCCTCGTAGTTTTCTTGGCAAGATTTTTCAGTTTGTTATAGCCTTCTTCGTAGGGTTGAGAGAGAGTAACTGGCCTAAGGTCACCCAGCTGGCTTAATGCCTAAAGTAGGAATATAACTCATGGCCTCCTATTTTCTAGGCTAGCATCTTAGTCATTATGTCAAACTAACTATTTTTGAGACATTAGTAAATGGAATCTATGGTGGTATGGAAACACCCTAAATAATTTTTGTCCCTCTTATTTTTAAAATCCATTTTAATCAATGGGTGAATTAATGGGAGTATATGGTGAAATCCCAAATACTAAAATAACAATGGGGGTTATATTTATTAATTTGTTTTATTGGCTCAGATACAAAGAATTTACCCACCTGAGCATTTCAAGTACTGAATTATACTTTAGATGGGGCTCCCTTCATGAGTGAGGTCAGAACACCTCCCCCTAATAAGACCCTGTTATCTCTTTTATATCAGTCTCTGCATTTCAGTTACAATAAACAGAAGGACTCAGAGAGAGGGAATGAGGTTTATTAGATCCTCTTCCATTACCTTCTTACTTCAACTCCTATTCCCAACTGGCCACCAATCTCTCATCTGGAAACTGCTAAATAATTAGTTAAGATGCAGGCAAGCCTCTGGCAGTAATCTGATTTCTTTGGATTGTTGAAAAGAAATCATCAGTTGATGGATTCTCCCTCTGGCTTTCAATATTACCACATTGGAATTAATACATTCTAGATATCTACAAATTAAAATGGTTCTAATATGGTTCTTGCAGTGGAACAAATCTTGAACATATAAAAGCAAATGTGATATAATTCTAGAAAAGTCTCTAGAAAATTATAAGCATGGATCCTTTGAGATCAGGAGGAATACATTGCAGTCCCAATGCAATTATCTATATCAGTGTTGTTACAAGAAGCTACATCTGCTGTTTCAGATGGATTTCTACCTAGGAGGGTCCTCATAAGAATTTAATCTCAAAGACAGAGGGCTAATCTCAAGGATAGATGAGCACAGGGGAAGGATTAAGTGAACCTTGTTAAGTTTCAGCTCTTGCAAAATGAATTTCATAGTGAAAAAATATCAAATTAAAAACCAATACAGTGTGAAGCTGTTTATTAATTTGTTTCAGCTATCTCTAATAATAAATGGTAACTGACATTAAGAGATTAAGATCTGGTTTGGATTAGAAAGAACCTACACCATAGCACAGGGGTCCCCAAACTTGGCAACTTTAAGACTGGTGGACTTCAGCTCCCAGAGTTCTCCAGCCAGCTGAAGTCCACTCTTGCTCTAACTTGAAAAAAAAGATCTTTAAACAGAGCTCAAATTCTAGTAACTGCATCCCGTGGGGTTTTTTGTTTTTTGTTTGGCAGCATTACATAAATGATTTACTATTTTGTAAATAATAACTATATTTATTTCTTGGAACCTTGGTATATTATTGATAAATCCCACCTACTTTGTATATTGAGTCCCAAGGTCAACAGACACAGATTTATAAACACACTGATGTCAAAAAATGACTGTGTTCTCATACCATCTCTACCATCATTCATACAATTTTAGTTTATATAGTTAGTATAAGGATGATTCTATTTGCTGTTTTCTAGGAATCATTCAGGATTTTTCTTTCAGGAGGAACATAATTAACCTCTTCTTGGCATACTATTTTACTTCTGGGGAACCCCCCATTATGAAAAATCACCAAAGGCATAGAAATAACATGTTCCTAACTAATATTCATCTTAGTACTACTCGGTCTGTTTATACTACACATCCTTTTGTTTGTTAAGTGTTATAAGTGGATAGTTGGATAGCAAAGGGAAATAGATCATTGCATAATGGAATGATATATAAACAAAGTTATAACATGGGTCCTGATTTCTTTTCAGAATGTAAAAATGGGGTGTATCTCTAGCATCCTGAAAGCTTACTCTGTACCACTCAGTGCAGCATTTCCCTTGTTATTAAACAAATCATTGCTTTAGAACACAGAAAAAGATCCCCTTTCCCCAGAAAAACAAAGTTAGCTCCAGGCTAGAAGCTTCCTTCACAGGTTTTACTACTTAGATTTTCTTAGAGTTACTTCAAGGTGTTTAAGCAATCACTTAATTTTTACCCCTCATTAGACATTCACTCTATTCCATTCAAAAGCAATACTAGGTTAACTACTGAATGTTGCTTTTGAAAAGTCAGAGGAAAAGCTCTTTGGTTTTCTTATCTTCTTCCTGGCCTCCATTCCGGGCAATAGCACTCCTCTGAGCAGGTCTGTCATTTCTAAACATTATGTAGATATTTCTGGTTCTGCATGACAGCATTCTTTAAGCACTAGAACTCATCCTTCTCACTAGTTTATTTCAATATATGGTAATAATAAAAAAAAACTGTTGATTAAATCAGAAAATTTAGTTTATTTGTCTTCAATTTCAGGGGGCACTATATTTTAAGAGCAAGCAGTTCCACTTTATATAGGAAACACTAAATTCATTTGTAATGTAGACACCTTTAACAAACATCTGAAAAATTGCTCATTCGTATTAGCAATAGTACTTAGATTTATATACTACCTCACAGTACTTTACAGCACTCTGATCAGTTTTCAATGTCAGCCTATTGCCCCCAACAATCTGGGGCTTCATTTTACCGACCTCAGAAGGATGGAAGGCTGAAGTCAACCTTGGAACCAGTGAGAATCGAACTGCCAAACTGTTGGCAGCAGACAGTCAGCAGAACTAGCCTGCAATATTGCATTATAACCACTGCGCCACCACGGCTCTTTAAAAGTATGGTTGACTTAATCATACTTTAAATATTTCCTGTACAAATCCCGATGTGTTTGGAGCAGCTGCTTTTGTCCCACAGAGAGCGGAGTTGCCCTGTAACTGTGAAAATTGCAAAAAGCATTTCCTATATAGGCAGCTACAGTATGATTGAGATTTCTGCTGAGTCCAAGTAAACCTGGGGATATGATTACAAAACATATAAAGCCTGGATGAGTTATTAACAAAGTGATCAATGAGGACAAGATACTTTAATCAAAATAAAAGCCATGGAAGATTGGTTCAGAGCAAACCTTATTTCCCTCCAAAACGTGTTCTGTGTCTCTTAATGGTCCTCATACAAGGGAGGCTCTTGTTATCTCAATTGTAATATTTCATGTATTTTTCCTTGGACTGTCATGGAGTCTACTTTCCCTGAGCTGGTTCTTTTGGTGTTGGACTCCAATTCACATAACGTCTCTATTACCACAGTCTTGCCAAACTAAGGCTCGTGGCAATTGTGTTGAATCTGGTTGGGGATTATAGTGCTTTGCCTGAAGTACCAAATTACAGTTTCTTTGGGACTGGTCAATCTTCTTAATGGCATCAGTCATCTTCCTGGAAATGCCATATGAGATAAGAAGAAGAGGGGGTTAGTGAATTGATTTGAGGACAGAGGTCATCTTATATTTGCAGTCATTAGAAAAGAAGCCAAGAGCCATTCTGGTGTAATAGTTCAGGCATCAGGCTAAATCAAGGTATTTTTCACTTGACTGTTAAGTCTGATAGTAATCTTGATGTTAATCTGGGTGTTGATTGCTGGTGGGGAGATGTTTTGATTTTTTTGTTCCCCTTTTGGCTTGTTGATTGTCTCTTTTACATAGTATGTAGGTGCTGTTTAAGTCCTGTGTCTATTATCTGTGAGAATGACCTTGGGGGGAGAGGATGCTGCCTAAGGAAGGGTCAGATAAAAGGGAGGAAAGATCCCGCAATAGAATAATGGGCAGAGAAAGAAATTTAGAAAGGATCTGCTCTAACTAATCAGGCAGCACAAATGTGTACTTTCAGACCTGCAAGATAGCAATAACAATAACACTTAGACTTATATACTACTTCACAGTGTTTTACAGCCCTTTCTAGACAGTTTATAGAGTCAGCATATTGCCCCCCAACAATCTGGGTTGTCATTGTACCAACCTCGGAAGGATGGAAGGCTGAGTCAACCTGGAGTGAGCAGTGAGTTAGCCTTATAATAAAATATAAATAGTTCATCTTGTTGTGTTTCCTGTCTGGTCTATGTAGGAGGCTAAGTCCCCAGGTTTCACAGTAACAAGGCCAAAAGGTAGAAATCTTTCTCTATTGTAAGCTTCCTTTATTAGGAATCTAGGAAAATCTTTATAATTAATGTAAGGCACCATTTTCAGGCCTTTTAGCAATCAGTGGCACAGTCACTGTGCCTCCAAAGAGAAGCCAAACAGTATAAAATTCTGTAGGACCAGAAGGAATGAGATCCACCTTCCTCCAACTAGGAGACCAAGGATGGAAATCAAAGCTCCTTAAAGAATATTCACTTTGCTGCAGGATGCCCTATTTGACTTGCTTCTCCCACTGAAAATAATCAGTTCACAAGTATGGTGGAAAAGGCCCCTCCATGTCAGAGAGCCTGGAGAACAATTGCAGTTTGCAGGCACTAGAAATGTAGATTGGGTTCTCCTATCAGGCAGCTGATGTCAATAAAAATATTCAGAAGTCTTTATAGAAATAAGTGTTTCCTTTAAAATCAAAGCTACATCTGCATCCTGGCAGGGGATTACCGGGCTGTTTTTAAATTTCATGGGTTTATTTAGAAAGAAGGGAAAAGACTTCCTGCTCTTACCAAATTCCAACAAACATTCCTACATCCAACAGCAAATGAATGATTAAGCAAACAAGGGGAAAACTATGTTTATTGTCTATATTATTATTATTATTCAAGTGTTTGTATCTGGCAGAGAAAGGGGGATAGTCAAGAGAACATGATACTTTACTGTAGCCAGATTGTTATGAATTTGTTTGCTAGGAAGTTGCGTAAGCTGCACAGACGGCAACTGGGCAAATGTACATAAGGATTTTAGCCTCCAAATGAACTTCCCCTATCAGTTTTCTGAAACCCAATGTGCCAGCAGATGCTTTGAATTCCTTCAGCTGCTGTGTTTTTTTTTAAATTATACAAGACACAGGTGGTCATTGGAGCCTTTTAAAACACATTTATTAACAGATGCAGAAAAAATAAAAATAAAACCACATTCCTCACCACCCGCAAATCCAACAGCCATTGACACAGAGACTAAATCCATCTCTTGCCTGCCTGTCCCCCTCCAGGTGCCTCCATAGAATTTATAGGGAAGGGCACCAGCTCAAGGCTATGGGATAGTACAGTCAGTGGGGTCCAAAGAGACAGTGACATCCGCTTTGCACTGAATGATGCTGGGCAGACCAGACAGTAGCTGGCAGCTTTGCAGTTCTGGAGCCACTTCCTTCACACATACTGCCTGGAGAAAAGAAAAAAAAAAGACAGAAAGGAAAGATAAGTAAAAGAGCAGTCACCCACCTGACTCTCTATTGTCCAGGACTCTTGGGAGTATGCCCTTCTTATGTAATAAGTTTCTTGGAGAGGAGAAACAGCTTGTAACTGAATTTACATTCCACTGAACGGCACTGAATTTACTTCTGGAGAAATACATCTTGCATGGTGGCGTAATATGAATAATTGTACATATGCTTAATACAGCTAGCATTTTTTCTTGATCATAATTTCCTTTTTTTAAAAAAAGATTTTTAATTAGTTTATCAAAGAATAAAATACAAAAAAATAGTGAAAACTAAGGAAAAGGGGAGGGAAAAGAAAAGAGATATAATATAAAGAGAGAAAAGGAAAGGAAAAGGCACAGACTTCTGTACAGTAGAAGATAACATTACAACCACAACTTTTTGTTTTTACACAATAGTATGTACAAGCCATTACTATAACAATAAGCCTATCTTAGTTAACAAAAACAAAATTTCATTTTTTGTTTCATTGCAAGCACAAAACCGGGAAGCAATTTCTGAATAGAAACAAAGATAGATATATTCTTTTCTTTGGATAAAAGAATCAATTTAGCCATCTCTGCTTCTTGTTCATAATTTCCACTGCTACCAATTTCCTATCCCAAAGGTGCGTTTTCCAAAAGGGAACTGGACTTTGTTTTTCCTTGAAGATGTTTCGCTTCTCATCTAAGAAGTTTCTTCAGTTCTGACTGACCTGGATGACTGAAAATCTTCACAAATCTACCCATGTTGTTTTCACTTTTGGTTGAAATTAGGAAAACTACGAATTAAGAATGGAGCAGCTATAATACATAAAATAAAATGCAATACAGTACAGGGATAACATAGACCAATGAACATAAAGTAAATGCATCAAAAGAGTCACTGCGCGAGACAAGATGCAACTCGACGGTCCCTTCCTCACCGACGGGAGCCCCTAAGCATCCTCCTTCCTCTCCCCCGAGTTTACTCTCCGCCCCGTTCCCGGAGCCCGGCAACTTCTTACCAGGTTGCGCAGCCCGCCGAAGTTCTGCCGCGACTCAGGCATGGCGAGAGAGGATGCGGCGGGGCCGCTCTCGGCACTACCGTCCGCGACGCCGTTGTCGTCGGAGCGGCGCATGTAAGGCGAACGGCGGATGCCAGAGAGAAGCCCCGACGCCCTGCCCACCGAGTAGTAGCTGGGACCGGCCGCCTGCTTGTACCAAGCCCCGGCGGGCGGGCTGAGCAGCAGGGCCAGGCTGAGGCAGAGCAGCGCCAGGGTTGGTGGTCCGCTCATGCTGCGGGAGGCTTGCGACGGCTGGGCTGGGAGGTCGCCATCGGGCGCCGCCTTTTATAACACCGGGGAGGCAGGAGACCCAGCCAGGCGGCTCAGAAGCCCCGAAGCGGGCGGTGGAGACGAGCGCCGCGCCTAGCACGTGACTTGGCGGTCTCTCCGCGGGGAAGCTGCCTGCTCCGCCGGGCGGGAGGCTCTTTCGGGGCGGCTGGCTCTAAGCTGGGCTTCTCGATCGGGTTTTGCTTTAGCTCTTTGGACGGAAGAAAGGGACTCGAACAACGACGCGCTGGGCTCGCTCCTCCGTCGAGAGAGGACGAGACCAGAGTGAAGGGTCACTGGTGGCGGGGGGGAAAAGCGCGAGCGAGCTCCCTCAACGACCGAAATTGCAGCAAACCCCCGTGGCTAACTGAACCCCGTGAGTCACGGAAGGCCGTTTTCTTTTCTGTACTTGTAGATGTACTAAACCATCATACACGACGATTTGTTAGCTGGGTAGTTTATGGCTCAGTCGGTCGTGGGAACACGGTCAATATTCCTCTCACATCTTTCCCTAATACTGTTTAGCTTTAGCAGTATTGCAACGAAATCTGACTCAGACCACTGAGTTTTATCTATAGATTAATGTGCCAGAGTCTTTGTGTTTTCTTTCTTTCTCAAATCTCCACACGTAAACAATTTAAAATCTGCTATTTTTACAAAAAAAGGGGTTAACCGAGCAAGCCCTTTCCAGCATAGCATTTATCTGCAATGCAAATATCTACATTGTTTCGCTGCATACAGGTAGTACTCAACAACCACAATTGAGCCCTAAATTTATATTGCTAAATGAGAAATTTGTTAAGTGAGTTTTGCCTCATTTTACTACTTTCTTGCCACGGTTGTTAAGTGGATCATTGCAATCATTTAGTAACATGGTTGTTAAGTGAATCTGGTTTCCTCATTGATTTTGTTTGTCAGAAGGTCATAAAAGCTGTTCACTAGACCATGAGACACTGCAACTGTCATACATATGGGCCAGTTGCGAAGCACCTGAATTTTGATCACATGAACATGGGGGTGCTGCAAGTGTTGTAAAAGGGAGAAAAATGGGTTTAAGTCACTTTTTTCAGTGCCATTGTAACTTTGAATGATCACTAAACAGTTATAAATCAAGGACCACCTATACTGCAATCCTTGATTCAGGACTGGACAATTGTTTCTTGCTAAAACACAATAGCAAGAATGATGCTTTTAATTTTAACAGAATAAAGGTTTGTTCTTTCAAGTATGGTAGATGGTTTGCAGCTATAGTAAAATGCTGACTAAGGAAAATATAAATCAGGAGCCCTGGTAGCACCAGCTAATAAATATTATTAAGTCAGCATCTTAATCTTTCACAAATAGCAGCTCACTTCATCATTACAGTCAAAAGGCAAAAAAATTGCCTTAAAAAAAACTTTTAAAAGAATTGTTAGTTGAAAACCAGATTCCTGATTTTTTGCTACTATACATGGCTCTTCTACAAATAAGATATAGCATTTGTTGCTGCCCTCTTACATTATCTGGCTCATCTAAAAAAATCCTAATCCAGTTTACTTTTAGTGCGACAACCGATGTATCAATGATATGGTGTACGGTATGCCTACTGTTCTATTTTTGTATAACAAAATGTATCCAACAGTAATCCAAAATAATAAATAATAAACTGTATAAGGAATATTTTAAGTTGTATTGTTCTTTCTCTGAAGAAGATAAAAATCACTCTGCCAGTTTTCAGCTATTTCAAATTGCAGACATTTCAAAAGCCACACACGCACACTTACATTGTGTGACTTAGCAGAGGTGAATATGCCTATCCTGCAAAACTCCAGATTGTCATTACAATTCGGTAACAAAACCATCAACTTAGAAACATGACTTTTTTTGTTAATGCTTAGCCATCAAAAGGTGTAGTATAACAGTGTTGTGCCTCAGGAAAACTTCACACCTACTGTTCCTTTATCTGAACTCAAATTTTCTCCTACATGCCCTTAGTTGCCCCTCCTCCAAATTGTAGCCCTTGATAAGATTCCCCCCACTTAAACGTAGTGTTGTGTGAATACTAGTTAATTAAATTTTATTTAGCAAACAGTGATTAATCAAAACACGGCTTGATAGAAATATATGAAGCCAGGCAGTAACTCCTATAGAAAGCAGAAAAGCAGATAAACTAAAATTAGGTATCTCTTACAGCTAGAAATAAAATAGGGGCAGGTATAAAAATACATTTTTTGTTTTAATTAAAATTTGCTCAGGGAAGCAACATTTGGGGAACATTGAGGAAGAACATATTTTAAAACTATATTTAATTGTAGTGATCTGTTGTGTTTTACAAGACCCTGGTATGATTCACATCCTGGTCGGCACTTTACTCTCCTATTGGGCAGGAGATATAGAACCATGACCAGCTGAATGAATAGGCTGAAAAATAGCTTTTATCCGAGGGCTGTCAGACTTCTGAACGCAACATAACCACAATTAGGTTTAATATGATAGACTTGCAGGGCCAGCACAACGTGCAACATGTTCATACCAGTGTAATGTGTTACATTTTAGTTTATTGTCATTGCACCTCGTACAACAAAATCAAACACCATCTTCAGTGCACATCATGACCATGAAAATAAACACAAACACATATCCTTCACACTCCACACATTGAACCGAAAACCCGCAACATCGCACTAACACTGCACTATACAGTAGAATTCAAAAGAGCTACTGCCCTGGGATAGAAGCTGTTTTTCAGCCTATTTGTGCTTGTTTTTATTATTCTGTACCGTCTGCCAGATGGTAATAGTTCAAAAAAAGGGTTCCCAGGATGAGATGGCTCTTTGAGAATATTTTGAACTTTCTTAAGACAGCAGGAGCTATAAAGCTCTTCCAAAGAGGGGAGAGGGCAACCAATGATCTTCTGGGCAATGACATTAACCCTCTGGAGTGCTTGAGCTATGGACTCCTTGTCAACTTTTAGATCTAAATCAGAAGTTTATATTAGTAGAACTGTTTTCTCTGTTTTGAACAAGTCAGTCCCATATTATTAAGTTAAAATTGAGCCTAAAACTACAAAGGGTCAAGAAGTCAAGAATTTTTATTTGTATACTAAAGCAAGGCATCAGTAATACACATCACAAAAAGTGAGGTTTGGGTGTTTTACGTTGAAGTTGAAAGTACATATTTTACAACAGTATTTAAAACAAATAGTCTTAATAAAAATACAACTATCTTACACCTAACTTACACAAATAATCCTATTTCATTTAAATTAACTACTAAAATTGAAACTGGAGGTTTGCTTACTTGTTGCCTTCATACCAACAAAGTCATCACTTTCTTCACATTTTATAGACTTTGAGAGCTCAGCTGGTGTGGTACCATACATTGGGACATCTGTATATAAGATGATGGCATTGAGAAAATACCGTAATATACAATAACAGTTTTCTTCTCCTTGATTCTGTACTGATATTAGTAATTCTGGCAATACAGAACATATGTATAATATTCAGGGGACACAAAGGGATAAATCTCAACAACCTTTGTGAATCCATGAGATCCAAAGGAAGCTGGGGGAGAAATCTTGCTAGAGTCACTCTTTGAACTTCCATTCCTGGCGGCACATTGGACAGTGCTGTTGAACTTGTTGAGAATTAAGCCACTTCAGTATGCAGTGCATGTGGAAACAGTGTGAACACTGTCCCCACACAAGAGGACAATCATCTCCAGGCACCTTACCTGAAAACACAAATGTTAATAGGGCAAAATCAAAGGAATACTCAGCTGAAGTGGACAAAAAAAATTAAGATTAATACTTACAGTCAGGGCAGCATCCGTTAAAAGCCATTCGACAAATGCCACAGTTCTCATCATTAGCAACCCAGAGCCAGGAAGCAACTCCATGCCAGCTCTTGATTTTCACCTTCATTGTATTCAGTCTACTAAGTCAGAATAGTATCTGAAGGGGAGGTGAAAAATGTTAACTGCAACTTCTTTTGTTGCTTTTTATACATTTCCTTTAAATATAAAAAAATGTTTAAAAATAGCATATTTTACACACAGCTTCATAGCTTATAAGAGGTTCTGTACCATCTCTTTTGCTTACAGTTAAAACTTGGTATTCCTTGGTTATTTTCTTGCAGAAGCTTCATTACTCAGCTAGGGAACATTTTCAGTGTCAGACAGAAGAAACAGGGTTTGCAATTCTATTTAGAGTGGTTTGCCCTGTCAGTATTGGTGGGAGTTTTTTTCTTCTTGCTAGTTAGTGGGATATTGTTTAACAGTTTGATTGTTGGCTACTAATCTGGTATTAATCTCTGCTTATCTGGATGTTGATTGCTGATGAGGAAGTGTTTTGGTCTTTTTGTTTCCTTTTTTATTGTCTCTTTTGTCTATTGCATTTACAAATTAGAAGATGTAGACTGGCTCTCACTTAGCAGAAGTTTCTGAGACAATTCTTAGATTCCATAAAACAACATTTCAAATACCGAAGACCAACCTCTTTTATAGGTGCAGGAGAAAAAAATATCTTAAAAGGTTGCTAAATAAGATGCAACTGAAGCTTGATTCCCTACAGGCCTTCTATGAGTATTCTGGAGGGAAAATTAAAATAAGAAATCTACCTTGCAAAATGCTTTTAACGTTCACCCCTCTTTTTGTTTGAAACTGGATGTTTAATTAAGAAACTAGCATAGGTGAATAAAAAATAAAGTTGCTTTAGTATTAAATTCTTTAAAATTGTATTAAACATTTTAGAAAAGAGTATAACCCATGAAACATGAAATGCATATAAGAATAAATATATATATCACCATAGAACAAAAATAATAATGGAATCTAAAATGTAATAGAGGTTAGTTTTTCACTATATGGTGAGTTAATTATAAAGTTATGACATCATTTACTAAAGGAAACTCAAAAATCCTAATTAAAATTCAAACTAAAAGTACAAGGTTAACACAGTATAAGCCACTAACTAAATTTATAGGCTATAATTGATTAGGTCACAATGGAAAAGTAATTTCTTATAAAATTGAAATATAAACTCTATACTGTAAACATTAAAAAAGAAACAAACGTAGGATGTGGTACAAATCTACAAAGTAAAATGATAATTTAAGAAAATTTCTATTTAGACCACTTTTATCTTGTAAATGAGTGATTATTTTTAACTTTAAAATATAGTCCTAGAACTTAAATTAGAAATTCTTTAAGCAAAGGACCACACTTTTTC